TGTTGAATTTGAACATCAGCGCTTGCTATTAACAAGTGTGTGAGAAGAATAGTGCATACAATTGTAACCTGAGTAAAATCTTTCAGTCAGAAATCCTTTAACGATAACTTTTCAAATACTGTGTAGATGTAGGATGTCAGGAGCCATAGAGACCTGTCTGAACAATCTTTAATTTCTAATCCACCTCTCCAGTAGTATCATCTGTTTTCTCACTGTCCCTCACAGGCCATGTCACTCAGGCTGGAGCAAGGAGCTTACTTAAACTATATATCATGTCACTAAAATCATGGTATTTTTACTTCTTAGCTTTACTCCTTTTCAACAGTATTCCCGAATCCTTTTTTGTCTCTTGCCATATATAGACCAGTCATTTCTCTTCTAATTCCCATGGCCTTTCAATTAAAGCCTCTGCTTCAGGTGTCTGCCATGATTAGGCCATCAAATGCACCTTGGGTATGGTGACACATCCCTGCCAGCTCAGCACTTTGCCCATGGGAGCTGAGAATCGAGAGTGCAAAGCCAGCCTAGGCAGTACAGCAATTTGAAGGCCAGCCTGTGCTCTCTCTAATCCCCAACACTTTTCTAAATTTTTAATTCTAAGCTCTCTTTGCAGTACCATCCACATCCATGACTTGAAAAATTTCTCTTCATGAATGTTTTCCCAATTTCTCGCAAGTTTTGATTTCCCATCTGAGTACCAAACCATGTAGCAATCTGTCACTCCCCAGCTTCCTTGAGCACTTTCTTTGTTCCTGTCTCTGTTCCAAGCAGTGAACAGAATGACCAGTAAGACAGGTAAAGCCCCTGCTTTCATGAAAAAGAGTGCACAGCTGTCTGCTATCACTGGGGAGTGTCCTAAAGGAAAACCAGGTGAGATAAGGAAGGGCAGCACACTAGAGGGGTGATGTCAGGCTGTCTCTAGCACACTAGAGGGGTGATGTCAGGGTCTCTTTGAAGAGGTGACATCAAAACTAAAGTTAAAAGAGGAAAAGGAGCCCCTCATTCTAAACACTGAAGAAGGAATACTCCAGAAAAACAAACAAAATCCCTCAAACCTGTGGAATCTGGAAAGATGGATACTAACTTTTGCAGTCCACAGGCATCAGTGCCTGGAGGCATCAAAGCGGGTGTCGTGTGCACGAAGGGAGAGGGTGAGACTCCAAATCCCCCTGATTTTGAGAAACACTCCTCTGAGAATTCAGAATGTATTTCGAAATGCACAATGGACCAGTCACTAACTATTTCCCTAACTAACTCCCTATTGAAGCCAGTTTCATTTCATTCTCATTTTAGGTTACAAGAGTGTGAGGCGATAAACAAATCTTAGAGAGTATGACACAATCCCCCCTTCACATCAATACTTGAAATGTTCATTTTAGGCATCAGAAAGGGAATCATTATGTTTGGTGAAGAGTATTAACCTGACTTTATTGTTTAAATGAACTCTCACCATGTGGTTCTTGGGGTGCAGGAGTGGAGTACTGATGGGAGGCGGGAGTGTAGAGGGGTGACTTACAAGGGCAGGGTTTGCACAAAATGGAGAGATGCAGAGTAACTTAGAACATACTAGAGGGAGAAGTGACTTACTGATAGGTTAGAAAATGTTTGTAGGGAGAGGAACATGGAAAAGATCACTGAGGCCTCCATTTACAGAAACAGCTTAATTCACCAAGATTACATCAATTGGGATGCCTGTGTGTAGCAGGTGGGAGTGTGGGGTAAGGTAAGCAGGCAGCTGGATTGCACCTTACCTCATTTCTTCTCTTATTCTCAGGCAAGGCTTACTGACCCTTTCAGAATGGATAGCCAGCCCATTTACCCCAATTCACCCTCCTTTCAGTCACTCATGTCATTTGACACTGTCACTGCTGGCTACACTTCCTCTCCACACCTGTCACCCTGTGCCCTGGGTCTTATGAGGGTGCAGCATGAGAGAATTTTTGATCACTGAGTTTTGCCATGACCACAATGTTGAGGACACATTCGGTGTTGAACAAATGTCTGTCCTACATATAAATGTCATCATTCTAATTTCATCTTTTTATGCCCATGTTAACGTGCTCAGTCATTTAGAAACACCCCTTCTGCCAGACAGGAAACCACAGACCTCTCTGCTGACAGCCATCAGAGTGCTAAAAGGGAACCAAGTCAGAGAAAAATAATCCAGATGAATCTTGCAGGAAAGAACCTATTGCCGATACAAATATTCCTCTTTACTAGGAATTGTTATTAAATTCCAAACATGACAGAGTGATAAAGGTATGATGTGTTTATTCCAGACCAAGCAGTGTTTATTATCACTGAGAAGTACTTCTTGGGAATAGCTCTACTTACATGTGAACCCTCATATTTCACATTTTCTTTTCTACTTTCCTACATACACCCTCTCATCTAGGCCAGAGCACAGTATGATTATTTATCATGCACCTAACGTTACAGAGATTTAAATAACACTGAAAGTAGATCCATCCCTATGTGCCAAGAGTTCATGAGTTCTTCCTAAGAATCCTTCTCTGATCCGGGCATGCTTTTAATCCCAACATTCAGAGACAGAGGCAGGCAGATCACTGTGGGTTCCAGGCCAGCCTGGTCTACATAATGAGTTCCCAGACAGCCAGGGATACACAGAGAGACCCTGTCAAAAGAATTCTCTGAAGACTGAGAACCACAGTAGGCAGTACAGGGGCTGCCTAACAGCTCAAGAAGGCTGCCATTAGCTGTCAAAAGAACCAATAATGGAAAAGCCATGCTGTTGTCTGAACAGAGAATGAGGAAATGAAGGTACAACATATTGTGAACCAAAGAACTAAAATGTGGACAGGCAGGATGTGATAGAAGTAAGGCTGGGGGCAATGTGCAAGGTTGCAAGAGTAACTGAACAGACAAAGAATCAGAAAGACATTCTAGAAGCAGCAAAGAGCTGTTTAGATTTCACAAGCAGGGAAGTGAGATGCTTGCTCTGTTTTCCCACTTGAGGTGATGCCCTCTCTTCTGCTGAGGGATGTTACCAAAGGAGCTGGCTGCTGTACCTCTAAAAGTCTGTCTATCTCTTTGCCCTGAGATGCACTAAATACATGACTCTAAGTCAATTATTTAACCTCTCCAGAAAGACACCATGACAAAATTTTCCCTTTGTTATGGAGTTATTGTTATTGTAATGGTCCAATGGGTCAAACACACACAGATGACATATAAGTGTTGGCTGTTACTATTGTTAAATAAAAACAGGAAAAGCTTCTTTCAACTCGTCTTCTTTGGATCTTTGTGTCATGAGAGGGATAGAGTGACCTGGCTTTTTTCTTATACCACTATTACTTGGATGGCCTAATGAGTAGGGTATATTATACTCAGTAGAAAAGATTACTAAAGGGAGACACAGTTTCTCCAGGAGCGAAAACAATAGATTTTCTAAGTCAAATACTTTACTGTACAAACAATTGAAGACTATCCTCATTTGGGGAATCCATAGGGTAAAGAGCTGTTTAACTAGTTACATTTCACGTGTGGTTTTCTTAAAACATGTGTTGAATGTTGGGAAAGTCAATAGATATATTGATGCTTACGTTTTGAAGCAGATATTCCATACAGGTAGGAGGAAATTCAAATTATTTGTGTGTCCAAAGCCTGACAGAATGCCAGGCACATGATGGACACTCATAAACAATGGTCAAATAAATAAATGTCCCCAAGTATTGAGAGCAAAGGCCACAGCTAAAATAACTAGCATTAATTCAAAGTCTAATGCCATCTCTAATGTTGTCTAATATTTACATATAAAGTAGTTAAATAGTAATTTTAATTATGATAAAATGATATGTACTTCTTATATAAGTGGTACTTTAATTTGTCTTTTAATATGCTTTATTTGGCTTCCTATTGGATTACAAAAACTCTAGTAATTGCAGACATATGAAAAGCTCACAGACATTTCCTATGACTGTTCAAGAGTTCTATTGCAATTAAAGAAAATTGGATTACAGACACTAATAAAACATGGTAAATAGAAATGATACATGAAAGCAATTTAGAAAGGATTCTCAGGAGATAGCATTTGTCACTATTATTTAATAGGGAACTTCTTAGTAAGTAGGATGTGTGTTAGCTGCTGTAGATAAATTCCACTCATCCCAAGTTAAACATAACTGGTAGCATTTGTTTCATAGTAAACTTGGTTTATCCCCAATTCTAATTGAATTTTTAGCTAAAATAATACTTATCTGTGTATCTTTAAGGTTGTATGACCTTGACATTTTATATATTTGACTTATGGATGCTCAGCCTTTTATTCATGTTAATCAGCAGCTTGCTCAAAATGTCTTTCACACAGTATGTGTGAACTACTACTTTTAAGTTACATTTTACTGTATTATTGGGATAATGTCTATCTCAATTTAGACACTAGAAGCTATTTCACTACAGGTAAAATTATTTACAAGGTTGGTTATACCTCTAAATACACAGATGGCCAAATCATATGTGAATAAAACATTTATTTGCTTAGGCATGTATTTTCTTTGTATTTCGTTTTTTGGACCCATTTGGGACTTTTCTTACAAATCCCCTTTTTACTTAGTTTTATTTTGCTTCAACAATTCAAATTGGTGACACATTAAATCAAGCTGAAAAGCCTGCTTTTTGATTCTGACAACTCAAGTGTGATTTGTTGGGCAACTATTCTGTGAGCCAGGTAATCTGAATCCTCTTAACTGGAATTTCCATCATAGCCTTTCACAGTGGCATGTGGGTGTGGTTCTCACTGCCCCCAGGGGTGCCACTTTGCTTCTGATTCTGAACAATTGGAAAAGTGAAGAGATTTTAGCTATTTGTCCTTTTCTCATCTCTTCCCCAAGGCTGTGACTACAATTTTGGAATCACTACCCCAACCTGATGTTACTATGAACCATGAATAATTCTGTGGGCTGCACAGACTTCAGACTGCCAGTTTTTCAAATGTCTGGACAACACAGACAGAAACAGAGCAAAGAGAGAATGGTTCTTACTTTCCTCTAGTTGTCTCAAAACTGGATTTTTGATAGCTGGTGGGTCTTTGACTTCCACTGCTGTCACTTTTGCTGAGATGCGTTTCCCTTGGGGACCTGTTTCCCATGTCTCCAGCCGACTTGGGGGAGATTGCTTGTTGACTGGACTTTCCAGAAAAACTCTGAAGGAATTTCCATGTGGCGTTAGCCAGCACCACCCTCTCTGCTCCAGGGCTGGGCTGAATGATGCCTTTGCTCTGGAGAGTAAGGGGCAACGGTCCCATCACTGCCCCTGTCTTCTCAAGGGGCGTGAGTGTTTGATTTCTTCTCCCCTCAGGTGGGGTGCTTGTCTCAGAGGTCTGCAGTGTTGATTGGAGCAGCATGTCTTCCAAAGGTCTCTCAGGAGCTGCAGCTGCCTTAGAGGATGGATTCTGAGTGGCCGAGAGCTCTTGGAGGCTCAGTCCTTCACTTAGAGGAGCTGAAGTGGAGTTAAGAGTCATTGGGGAGGTTTCATCTTCAGGTCCAGTCCGTGAATGCTGGGTGTTGGTAAGCCCAAAGACCCTTCCCCATAAACTAGAAAGCAGGACAAGCAACTTCAGTCCCTGCATGGCAGTAGATTTACACAAAACTTCATGTGAAATTGGGAGACAAAGACCTTCCAGCTTTCCCGTTAGCTGCTTCTGCACCGAACTTGCTGAAACTGGGTTTAGACAATCTGGTGCGTGCAGAGGAAACAGGTTTCTGTGTTTACAGTGTGCTCAGGAAGCTCATTTTCCTGTTTCTGGAGTTGTTCTGCGATCTGTGACCCTCCTAGGATGGATCAATGGATGTGGTGGAGGACCTCTGAGAAGCTAAGGGGAGAGGGCAAAACAGAGGCAATTATCACCAGGAAAAGCCAGGGGAAAGCATGAAGTCACATTCCTTTTCCCAGGTATATTCAAGTCCCTCTGCCTTTGCAAAGAAACTTTCCATTGGCAGTGGAGAGTGGAATTTCTTAGGCTCCATGAAAGAGTTTAATATTCTCTTCTACAGTATCAGGGAATCAAGGAAACATGTCAAGAGTTTGTTCCCACTGTGCCATACCCAGAGAGCCACACTGTTCAATACACACTCACAGGGACACACACCAACACAAACAGCTGGCATTGCTGTGTCTTTTCCTGTTCTGTGGGAAGGATAGATTTTATAAATATGCCTCGGTTGATCATTCACAGAAGTCAAATTCAATAATTATAAGTAATAACAAAAGCCTAAAGAATAAAAATATAAAGGCATTCAAGAAATCCATTTAAAAGATTTTAATTTAAAAAATATTTTTTCATTTCTTTTTTATTTAAATTAGAAACAATCCTTTTTTTACATGTCAATCACAGTTCCCTCTCCCTCCCTTCGTCCCCTGCCCCCCACCGACCCCCCATCCCATCCTGTTTCTGCCCTGAAGGGAGGGTGAGGCCTTCCATGGGGGATCTTGAATGTCTGTCTTATCATTTGGAGCAGGGCCTAGACCCTCCCTCATGTGTTTAGGCTGAGAGAGTATCCCTCTATGTGGAATGGGCTCCCAAAATCCATTCTTTTGCTAGGGATAAATACTGATCTTCTACCAGAGGCCCCATAGATTGCCGAGGCCTCCTCATTGACACCCACATTTAGGGGGTCTGGATCAGTCCTATGCTAGTTTCCCAGCTATCAGTCTGGGGTCCATGAGCTCCCGCTTGTTCAGATCAACTGTTTCTGTGGTTTTCTCCAGCCTGGTCTTGACCCCTTTGCTCATCACTCCCCCCTCTCTGCAACTGGATTCCAGAGTTCAGCTGGGTGTTTAGCTGTGGGTGTCTGCTTTTGTTTCCATGAGCTCCTGGATGAAGGTTCTAGGATGGCAAATAAGGTAGTTATCAATCTCATTATCTGAGAAGGGCATTTAAGGTAGTCTCTCCACTGTTGCTTAGATTGTTAGTTGGGGTCACTAATCTGATTAAAGGGGAAGGCCAGTTCAGACATCCTCCCCACTATTGCTAGGATTCTTAGCTGGGGTCACCTTTGTGGATTCCTGAGAATTCCTTTAGCACCAGGTTTCTCCCTAACCCCATAATGGCTCCCTCCATCAAGATATCTCTTTTATTGCTCTCCTCCTCTGCCCCTTCCACAACTCTGTCTTCTTGATCTCTCATGTTCCCATCCCCAAACCTTTCCCTTCTACACTCTCTCCCAGTTTACCCAGGAGATCTTAATGACTTTCGCTTCCTGGGGCTCTCCATCTGTGTCCCTCTTAGGGTCCCCTTTTTTAATCTAGCTTCTCTGGGGTTGTGAATTCTAGCCTGGTTATCCTTTGCTTTCATCTAATATCCACTTATGAGTGCAAACTTGTACAACCACTTGGGAAATCAGTATGGCGGTTTCTCAGAATATTGGGAATCAATCTATCTTAAGACCCAGCAATACCATTCTTGGGCAAATGCCCAAAGGATGCACAATCATACCACAAGGACATGTGCTCAACTATGTTCATAGCAGCATTATTTGTAATAGCCAAAACCTGGAAACAACCTAGATGCCTATCAATCAAAGAATGGATAAAGAACATGTGGTACATCTACACATCAGCAAAAAAAAACAATGACATCATGAAATTCGCAGGTAAATAGGTGGATCTAGAAAATAATCATCTTGAGTGAGAAAGACAAACACTGTATGAATTCACCCATTTTAAATTTTGATCTTAAAATTTTTTACCAGTGACACCAATAGCAGAATGAATATTCAGGAGTTAGTATCTGTACTTTTCAGCTCAAATCTGAAGATGTATAATTAGTATTTTGCCATTGAGAAATGGATGAAGAAACAATGAAGTCATATAAGATGCATTAAATTATAATTATAGGTATGCTACATTATTGCTACAAACTAGAAACAGATGAGTTTTAGGTAACTGAAAATCTAGTTGAAAAAAAAAAGAGTGCCTTTAATCCCAGCACTTGGGAGGCAGAGGCAGGCAGATCTCTGTGAGTTCAAGGCCAGCCTGGTCTCCAGAGCGAGTGCCAGGATAGGTTCTAAAGCTACACAGAGAAACCCTGTCTCGGAAAAAAAAAAGATTTTCTAAGGTAGGTTTACTGTAAAGAATATGAGTTCATTTTGCCAGCCTGTCTCTACTTAGGCTTCAACTAGGCTCTGTCTTCTGCAACATTCCTTAACAGACACTAGACAAATTAACATCATCACAGACTGTGTCACCCACACATTCGTTCATCAAGTCTCCTGAAGCTCCAAGCCATGGGAGGAACTTCCCTCTTACGTACTAGAATTTTAAAAGAATGTCAAATCAAGTGTTACCCAGGGTCTCTTTATGTATGGACTGTTATTCTGTTAACCACAGAATTAATTTTTGTAAGAATTGGGAAACTGGCTGGGTGGTGGTGGCACCTGCCTTTAACCCCAGCACTCAGGAAGCAGAGGCAGGCAGATCTCTGTGAGTTGGAGGACAGCCTGGTCTACAAAGCCACACAGTGGAACCCTGTCAACTCCTCCCCACCAATTGGGAAACTGGATCTTCTGCCTCCTTGTTATAAATCATTACAGATACATGTTTTTGTTCCCAATTATGGACACAGGACACCAGGGTTCAAACCAAACCTTAAAAATTTCCTTTGATTTACCAAATACCTGTCTGAGTACATTTTCCAGCCTCCAATTTTGCTTTTGATTTATATGATGACATTTTTGACCCACTAGAGACTATAGGATGCAGTGTGACTTAAACTGAGACCCAGAAACCAGTACCTCTAACTCTGACATGGACTTTGAAACTGAATGATATAGAAACTGCATCCCTAAGAGCAGAGAATGTGCAGATGGTGGTGGTGCACTCCATTAGTCCCAGCACTGGGAAGGCAGAGGCAGGTGGATCTCTGTGAGTTCAAGACCAGCCTGGTCTACAAGAGCTAGTTCAGGACAGGCCCCAAAGTGACACAGAAAAACCCTGTCTCAAAAAAAGAGCAGAGAATGAAGTGGGAACCCCAGAAGCAAAAGGGACCCAAACTACAGAAATTTACCCCATGAACATAGCTCTCAATTCTTAGAATCCTTGCTTAGAAGAGACAGGAACAAATAGACTTAGTTTATAGGAGGAAAACCTCTAGGAGTGCATTTCTATTTAAAGCATAATTTCATGTCCATAGTGCTAACACCTGCAGAAATAGAAATAGTTCAGTTATGTCCAAACGTTTGCAAAACAGAACAGTGACATGCTGCTTCCTTTCATTTTCTTTATTTGCTTCTGTGGTTTAAAAGACCACCTGATCCTAGCCACAGTAAGTGAACGTTGATGGTAAAGGATTAATTTCCTGGATCTATACCTGATACCAACTAGCTAGCAAATGGTAATAAGATTGAATGGTAATGAGGACCGCATTTCACCTCTTGTGAGGTATTGACCAGTATAATACCTGTGCTTGATCCTCCTGAAAGCTTACAAGTAACCTTTTGATCAATAGGCTAAAGGTTCAGTATGTCGTTATTGATCTGCTAAGCCCTGCTGTGCTGTAACTGCCCTGAAAATGCCTAGCTTACTTGCTGTTATATGGATCAGCACTCACTCATAAAATGCTTATACTACAGAAAGTATCAAAGGCTAGACCTCACATTCTGCTCTCTGGGACTGATTAATAAACATTACAAAGTTAAGGGGAAAATCCCCTGGGCTGAAGAAAATTTAGTATATTATTTATTTAGGATACCATAAAGATAGGGATCTCAATGAGAGAGAGAGAGAGAGAGAGAGAGAGAGAGAGAGAGAGAGAAAGAAGAAAGAAGGGAGAGAGGGAAGAAGGAAGAAAGAGAGAGGAAAGGTGCTTATGTTTCTCTTTTGGTAGCTTACTGTCTTAGGGTTTGTGTTGCTGCAACAAAACATCATGACCAAAAAGCAAGTTGGGGAGGAAAGGGTTTGTTTGGCTTACACTTAAGCATTTCTGTTCATCACTGAAGGAAGTCAGGATAGGAACTCAAATAGGGCTGGTACAGAGGCCATGAAGGGGAGTTGCTTAGTGGCTTGCTTTCCATAGATTGCTCAGCCCACCTTCTTATGGAACCCAGCATCATCATCCCAGGGATTGGCACTGTCCACCATGGGCTGGGCCTTCCTCCATTGATCACTAAATGAGAAAATGCTGTACAGCAGAATCTCATCGACATATTTCCTCAACTGAGACTCCTTCCTCTGATGACTCTAACTTGTGTTAAGCTGCAGTACACTTGCAGAGTACCTGTTGTATCAAAGTTGGTCTTGGTGTTTTATCACAGCAATAGTAACCTTAACTAAGACAGACACCATGCCCATTTAACAAAACAACAGTATTAAGTTATTCTCTGGAAACCCGACCTTCTTAGCATGGACTTTGATCAGGTTTAAAATACCAGGTATGATTTAGATCTGTGGAATGGGTCTAAAATTCCATTAGGAAACAAGTGGTCACCCCTATAACAGCCATGCCACTGTTGTACCAGTAGGTACATCTTGGTTGGTTTTGGAGTTCACATGGATCACACCTACATAAAGCTGTTAATTACTTTTCTTCCTCCGTAGCCTGCATAGCACCTTTGAGAAGCATGAAAGCTAGAT